ATTTCGAAAAATGTTGTTTTCCAAAACACATCACCATAAAATATGAATCGGAACGTCTTTTTAGCAAAATATCACATTCCTGCAAAAATTTCGCGCAACCTTTCTTCATTTACAGCACATCCTACAAGCGCATATTTCAAAATTCAGGTGAAGAACAAACGTATCGAAACTTACCGTTAGAGATATCTAATGCAACGTAAGAGCATGTGCAAAAATAGCAACATTCTTTATTAAAACATACTTACAGATGGTTGGAGAATTGTTCTGAGCATGGTTGCCACAGTTCGGCGACTTCTACCAATGTGGCTGCAATAATACCAAAGGACTATATGTATCAACTAAAATTAAAATTTTTACTAATTAAACTTTAGGCTTTAATAGAAGTTTGTAAATGGCAATATTGAGATTAAAGATGCAAAGAGTTTTCTGGTGGTGTTCGAAATTCGCTGATGTTTTCACGCTAGTGATTTAACTATTCAGTTATATAGTTTTTGATTGCTTTCTGCTTTAATCTTTAAAGTTTACGAGTAAGAAATGCAACTGTAAAAGGTTATTTTTAAGGGACATTTCGACCAAGGAAAAAATACAAAATGATAATGCGTTTGAAACTCCTAGTTTCGTACTTTGAATGAAGATGTCACAGATGGAAGAACAAGAAATCTATGTTTACTTTGTACGTTCATTACCCATGCATACACGTAGCTCATATATTTATAAAAAGAAATAATCAAAGGGGTAGAGGACCAAGAAAGTTAACATGATGATGAAGAGCTATTAACTGCAATTTTGTTTTAAATAAGTATAAAATAAAAATTTCGCAATTTTGATTTTTTTTCCCGGTAAGCACTTAATTAATCATGTACGCTGTGATAATATGTTCTACGATATATTGTATTTTAGTTCAAGTACGTTTTGGTTTATTTTAAAATGAGGAAAAATTTTATCCGAAATAATTACACGGATCAAACAGATTGGAATAATTTGATGTGACGTCAGATATATCTTTACAGCACAGTGGATTATGACTACAGTATATTTCTGTCAAAAGTAACACTTGTGAAAATGGCCTGTATTTATAAAAAAAATTATATTAACATTAGCTCCTTAAAATATTTACCTCCGCAGAAAATCAGAATTATCTGGAATCGTGTGTCATGTAATTATATTTTACTCCAAATGTTAATTTTTAAATGCAATATTTTTGAAACAAACTTTTAAACAACACTGAGTTAAAAGCTTTAGAAGCTAAGACATGAATGCCTGTTCATAATTTGAATAACTGTCTAATTGTATTTAAACTTCCAAGATAACATTCTTTACACAATTTTTCTTATTAAATTCTTTAAATTCTTATAACTAATTCAATATGAAGTGCAAAAGACCACTTTATTTAACATGTACGTTTGTAAATTTTCTCTCTCTCATGCTGATTCTTTTAGGTAGGGCAAATTTTATGTTCTATATAGTATATATAAAATGTAATCTGAGGATGGTACGATGAGAGAACCAGAACGTTGCGGGCAGATAGCAATTGGAGATTTTGTAATATTTTTGGCCATACGGTGATGAGAACTTAGTAGAGAATTATTATTTTCAGTTATGATTATAATGAGGAAAGATGTAGTTAGCACGCAAATAAGATGCATCCAGAACTTATCGTGAAACTACTGCCTAATTGAAATGATGGAGTTACAGACAAACGTGCAGAGTTCAATTTATAATGTATTCCCAGACACTCTCGATACTTTGATATTTCAATCACGTTTTGGTTATCTTATGATATATCTTTTACTGGTGCAGTTCAATGGTTGCAATCTTCACCTCACAGATTTAACTATGCAGATCATATTGTTACAGCGGTTGAGGCGGCCAAGCTGAAGAAGCTACATGCTTTTATACTGAAAGCATGGAAGAAAATTGATGCGTAGTAAGTAGTTGATGCGTAGTAAGACTCCGATACTTTCTTTTAATCCTGAAAAGCGATCCTGAAAAGGAACTTTCGAACTGCAGAGATATGATGACGCAAAAAAGTGCAATATTGTTCCTTGAAGACTGTATGTACTTCATTAAAATTATGAATTTAAAAGTCTATTGCCAAGTGAGTTAGAAATTCTTTCCAATTAAATTTAATTTACCTTCACTTTTTTATATCTTACATATATGTGACGTACATAATTTCAGACATTAACATTGAAAGTATTGTAATAAATACTCAAATACTCGAGTTTGCCTTTTGTGTAAAGGGCAATTTAGAAATTTTTGGTACTACTCTTATATACGCCATCAGATGTACGGCGTCGCCAAATGTGGCGATATGTGTTCTGACCCAGTTTTGCGCGATTGTGTGTTCTGAGATGACTTTTGGCTTGATGTTTGTATGGCAAACCTTTTGACATTGGAACATGATTTTGCTGGAGTGGCTTTATTTGCTGGGTTGGTTTGGTGGGCGCTTTGGAATGACATATATTACAATGAAAGACGGGTGGCGAAATTTCAGTCACGTATTTTGGATTGTGAGTAGGTAAACTTAGTATTAAAATGTACGGACGAAATTTTATTCACGAATATGCTGGACTTTGTATGCTCTGTGTCTCAGAAGCTAGGGAAGAAGGATGAAGTGGTGGAATTGATGAGTTTTCTGATGTTTGAAATTGATATTTCTGCTGTTTGAAGAAGCATTCACAATAGTAGGTGCATTTTATTTTATTGTCCTTATTTTGTAGAATGTTATGTTCATTGTTTTTTGTTTTTGCTATGAATTTCTGTCGTTGTTGTTTTTGAAATTGTTTGTAAATTAATTTATTTTAGTTTATTGACTTGCGCGCTATGCCGGGGCTTTGCGCGATGCCTAGATTGTGCAATTCGCTGATCTTTTTAAAAATTAAAATAGAAAGCTATGTACCATGTTATTGTTTGAAATTTATTGTTATGTTAGTTTATTTTAGGGAGGTATGCGTAATTCCTAGGCTGCATAGAACATGCTCAAAGTCAGTTTGCTGCATACGCAAACTCAAAATCAGTTTGTGCAATTCTCTGATTTTTTTTTTTTTTTTTTTTTTTTTTTAAGTTAAAACAGATCGATGTGTACATGGATTCTTGTCAAATATTTTTTTGGTGAGAAACTTTACGTTTTTGCTATCTAAATTTTTTTGTTTCGGATTTTGGGCGTAAATTGTGTGTTAAAAACGCGGTTTTAGCGTGTGCGAAAATCGCTTTTTTGCAAACATTTTAGGCTTAAAGTTCGAAATCTAGACAAGGAATTTAAATAGTAATATGACGCCGTGGAGTTTCTCGCCAAACATCTTTGGCGAGAAATTTGTAACCAACCGATGGCGTGTATAAGAGTAGTTTCAAATTTTTATTTGAATCTAGGAGAAGAATTGTATTGTGTATTATTGATAGATAAGCGAATACCGTAAATACATTGGTAATAAAACGAAAAGTATTGTAAAAGAGTATAAAGCAGAGTTATGCACCTTAATACAAATAACGATGATTTTATTGCTTTACAAATTTTGTTTGCGTATGGTGATAATGAAGCGATTTGTAAGCTGAGAGCAATACCCTGGGCACTCGGAGATAGAAATGATTCATACGCCTGATTATAATACTGTTGTAAACTAAATAATCGAGTACGTTAATCCTCTGAGCGTTATGGCCGGCTTTATCCGGTGTCATGAGATCTTTTGTCATTTGTTATATATTATTAGCTTATGATTTTTATTTTGCTTTCTTACTTTCTTTAATGATATAAATATCATATTAATAAATGCAAGTTTATGCAAATAGACATATAATATATAATGTAAATAAACATACAAATTTAGCTAATAAAGTGTCTTTCAATACACTTCATTAGCTAAATTAGGTCTTTATGACAGATCCAAAAACCCTCAGAGGGTTAAAATCAGTTTACTCAAAATCAGTTTTCTAATTAACACAACAAATTTAACACTGAAAAAAAAATGGATATTTTTTTAGTATTTGGTATTTGATAAAAGTGAAATGAAGCAAAGCAGAAGGGAAAATTTACTGAAAGGAGTTAACAAGTAAAATAAGACAAAAATAATGAATTAGGAAAAGGAGCTGCCGACACAGAAAAGTTAGTACAGAAGCGCTAGCAATTCAAACTTTAGAAAGCAATTAACAATGGACATGAAGGAATTAATTTAGAAATGAAAGCTTAAATTAGCTGAGAATTAATTAAAAATTAAATCTTTCAACAATGGATAATTAGCAAAAGTTTTAAAACTTTCGTCAAAACTAAGATACGTAATTAAAACAACTGAAAATCGAATGACAGTCCGTAATTCACGGAACCAACGGAGATTGAATTTCGATGACATCTGAAGTCGTGTGAACATACGTAACTATGAGGTCACCAAAATAACATGATCTCTGATGTCATATGCTACGTCTCGATCTTCTGCTACTTCAGTTGAAACATTTCTGTCAGAACTGGTTGTCAGCTTCACACACAACTGCACGCTATATCTATACAGTTTATTCACTTTATTGATGTCTACAACTGATACCTTTCTTATCATGTATTGGTGGAGGTGTTATCTTCTTTCTGAATCCATGGCGCTCTTACAAAACGGAGAACAAAACCTGATCGTTGAATGCAACTGAAATACGCTTATCCCATTTTATGGGAAAAAAAGAAAAATAAGATCCAACCGATTAAAATTAACCAATGAGCATTAATACTGTTGAATTATTATGATCCTGACTAAAAGAAAAATATCAAAATCTGAATTTCTTGAATTGCGAAATACTGCTGTTACATTTAGTACTTATGTTGCCATAAATTGAATGCCTAATAACGAATTAAGTATTAAAATACTATTATTAGTTTTAAATTCAGGGTTGGCAACTAATATGACAAATATTTCTCTCCTTCTATTACTAGCTTATGATAGATATTATTTTCGATTTATACATCATAACTTCTGTGTTTTATTACTGAACGAATTTACTTTAACACTTGTTTTGTTCAGCTTCTGAAGTACCTTTGTTCAAGCAGTTGAGCACTTTTCATCCTACTAGAACCATTGTGGTACAAAACTTTTTGCCTGAGGCAGAAGTACATGTACGGAGTTTTGTTGCTTTGTTCGGAATAACAGAAGTTTGCGAAATCATCAGAGATGATGCTCGCTCCTGCTTAGCTGTGATACAATACAAATCAAAGACATCTGCAGCTGATGCTCTTTTAGCTATGCCTTATTGTCAGGTGAGACAAATTGTTTTGGTTTGATATTTTAAGGCATTTTATTGCCATTATCTAAATAATTTTTTTTAAGTTTCGTTTCACATTTTCGTATCACGAGTCTTAAACGAAATTCTTATAATTGTATTCTAAATTATGTTCTATCATAAGTAGAGATGTGTTTTTGATTTTTTAACTATTTTTTCGTGATGTGAACTTTTATGGTTTTAAATCTATCAAATAGGTATTCATTCATCTTTCCTCAGTCGAAAAATTTAAATATATCTTTTTTTATGTATCCTTAGTCTATTCAGTGGTTTCTCTAATATTCTGATGATAATAAGTCGTCTTTTTCCCTCGTTCTGAAATTTTGACTATTAATATCGTCTTAAAATTTCCCAAGTCAAATTCTGTTTTTGGTATACAAATTATGCATAGTTCGACCGGGTTACGTTCGTGGTTTTCAAGGATTAATGTCTATGAACACGACCGGGTGTGTTTTCTTAACAGAATACGAGCCGTTTATAGAAAATCTTCCACGAAGGCATCCCTCCTCTTGAGCAGATAGCCACCTTGTGTTTTACCATAATTAAATTAACCAATTACTGTCAACTTTGTGGTCTCATAGCATGTGGTATTTCCCGCGTGCTTTTGTTCTGATATTCATTACATGTAGGACATTTCAAATTTTACCTTCTATCAGCTTCTTCGTAAGTGGCAAAAACAATACATCTCTTTTTTCTTACATTTTTCTATTTCAAAGTGATCCTCATCAATTATATTTAATGTCTCTTTTTGCATAGATAAAGGAGTAATTACCCTTCCTCCTTTGAAAAAGAAGTAATTTTGTTTTGTCAACTAATGAGTATAGTCCAAAAATACTTTGACTTGAGCTTCCAGCTTATGTTTACTTTCTGGAATCTCTCGGAATAAGTTTCTTTTAAGCACTCTAGTGTAGCGCCACATCCACTTTCTTTCTTCAATTCCTCAATTTTGTAATCATATGCTGAAATCTGAGTACAAATTTCTGCATCTTCATCATTATCTTCTTCTGTTGTATTCAAATATGCTGTACTTAAAGTGTCTGCTGTTAGTAAGTCTTCCCTCTTTTTGTAATGTGCACCTAGATCATACTATAAAAAACATTCTTGCCAATAATATTTCTTAAAAATATATTTCTTAGTTATACTTTCGAATGGTCAGGTTCAACTGTAATACGCTTGCCATACATATATTGATGAAATTTTGAACATCCGAAGAGTAATAGCTAAAAGTTATTTTTCTATCTGATAATTTTTCCGACTTTTCGTTACAGCTCTGGAAGCATAAGGAATTAGTTGACTTTTCTTGTAGTAAAACAACACCTAATCCTTCAGAACTTGCATATACTGAAAGAGTTGCATCCTTATTAACATCATAGAATCTTAATTCGGGTGTTTTATAAACAATTCTTTAAGTGTTTCGAAAGTTTTTGACATTTTTCAGTCGAATGCCAGGAAACATTTTTCTGTAGTAACTGTATCAATGGTGTACGAATAGTAGTTAGGAATACATTCTTGAAAATCGCTCTAAAGAAGGTACATTTGTAGGTTGCGGCATTCTATCAATTGCTTCCAATTTAGAAAAATCAGATTTTAACCCATTTGCACTTAACTCGTAACCTATATAATTCATCCAATTATCTTTTTTATTTTACACTTAGTCCTACTGAACTACAGATTATTTTCTCGTGCTCTTTGGAGTACTTCTTTAAGTAGAAGGTGACTTTGATTTTCATTAGATCCCCATATTAAGATGTTATCTACACTCAACGCTTTATACACCTTCTATTTTAATTTTTTTGTCAAATTTATGGAGCTGAACGTATGCCGAATGGTAATATTTTAAATCTGTATCTGCCAAAAGGTGTATTTAATTCACACAAAAACTTTCCTCAAGCTGGACTCGCCAAAAAGCACTATTAGCATCTAAAACAGAAAATATGGTTGATCTTTGGATTATGGTAACTTAGCGATTTTTTGGCGAAAATTTGGCGACCAACTCTGCTACAGCAACCCTCTATTTTTTTTTTCGCCGCCATTTTGTCTTCACGAAGTACAGACATGTTTCTTTTCTTTTTATTTACTGCACACTTTTTCCAACAATCTATTAGCCGAATTACACTTATGCTAGAAATTTTATGTAACAAAACTGCTTAATCATGACAAATATTCACTGCAAAATTGGGAAAAAGTGCACAATCGCAAACTCCTTGCGCGTTTTTTAGAATAGCACATAAACCATTTACACGTCGACTTATTTTTACTTAAAAAAAAGCCCAGAATTGCACAAAAATGGCATTGCACACACTCTTAACTTTATCCATCTACACTGCTATTTTCTCATAAATTACAAAAATTTGCACGAAAATGCAAAAAAATTCTGTGAATCTTTAAACTCGGTAAAAAGCACATATATGAAATTACCTGATCGCGAAAAAGTATATACCCATTGCAAGGATGAACATTTCCACGTATAAAATAAATAAAATATCCAAAAACTTTTACCTCTAAATTATCTATTATACTATAAACGTCACCAACGAATTTATACGCAAACATTAAAAATAGATACAAATACTTAGTGTCAAATATTTAAATTATTTCCATACATGTTTACTTCAACTGAAACGTATACCAAATTCCTACAAACATAAAATTCACAAAATAACTATCATTTAATTAAAAGATCACTAAACCATGTACACGTCGACTTAAAAAAAATCCCAGAATTGCACAAAAATGGCATTGCGCACACTCTTCACTATATCCATGTACACTGCTTTTTTCTTATAAATTAGAAAAATTTCACGAAAATGCATGAAAATACTCAACGTATTTACTCAAACGTATTCCAAAATATTACAAACATATAACTCACAAAATCACGATCATTAAATTAAAATATAATTAAATTAAAAAACACTACTTAAAATATAAATAAGCACATACATTAAATTAATAAAAATTAGATTACAATCCTAATTACTTTTAACTAAATCATTGCTAAAAACAATTTTCTAATAATATCATTAATTTATTTACTCCTTACATTTAGAACAATGCATAAAAATAATATCCTCAAATGATTAAAAATACTAACTTACCTAATCTTCAGAATCTTCATTACGTGGCACGCACACTTCCACTATTTCACACAACACACAATGAAACTTAATACAAAATAATATAGTACTACAGTTTTCTAAATTCCCCCCCCCCTTTTCCGATTAAAGAACTATAATTCGTCCATTAATGTCACATGACATATCTCATGATCTCTCATTTCCCTCACACAAAATGATGCGTAATCGGAACTGAGTACTTCTCACATTATTACCAAAGTCCTAGGTAGTAACCTTTATCGCCTCCAAAATGTCGCCAAACTACCAGTTACCATATTCCGAAGATCAGCCGAAAATATTTTTGCTTTTAGCATTCTGGTGAGAACTTAGTCTATGGTTACCGTAGGATAATGTTCTCATTTTATCGCTTTATTTAAATCTCTAGGATCTAAACATATTCTTATTTCGTTAGGTTTGACAACATATTCTTATTAACATATTCTTGACATATAACATATTTTTAAACATATTCTTATTTCGTTAGGTTTAGCATCTAAAACAAAAAATATTTTTGCTTTTGGCATTCTGGTGACAACTTCGTCTATGGTTAACGTAGGATTATGTATTGTTTCATCGCTTTATTTAAATCTCTAGGATCTAAGGATATTCTTATTTTGTTAGGTTTGACAACATTGAATTTAACCATTTAGTTGGTTCTCTTACTTTCTCAATAACATTTAAATTTTTCATTCGTTTTATCTCAAATGGCTATGAGTATTTTTCTTCTAGGACGAATTACTGGTATTGCATCTTGTTTTATCTGGATTTTATATTATCCATTCAAACAGCCCAAGTTTTCAAATACATCTTTGCATTCCTCCAGCAAGATTTCAATATAAACGGACCTGATTTTAATCCTAATAGAGAAGATTTTTCTTTGTCAATACTTGGAAGCCTACAACATAATTATTTCTTCTATTTTGGGAGTTAAATGCTATTTTTTTCAGTATCCATTTTATTCCCAGAGAATGTAGTTTAGCATATTCATTTTGTTTTTAAAAATAACACGGAACATTGATCCAGTATCTAACTACAAATTAAGTTTCTTTTTATTTACATTAACACCAGCAGTCCATTTCTTTTCTTTGTTATCCCAACTAAGGTTTAACATACTTACATAAAAATCTATCTCTTCCTCAGCCTCAGGATTTATTAATTTTTTTTATGGAACTTGGTAGCTTCATTTTTTATTTTACAGCCTTTACACTGATTCTGAAAATGATTTGCGTTTTTATACTTTCGACAAATTTTTCCAAACGCTTGGACATTTTCTATCATTTAGAACAAACTTTTGTCGCTTATTTCGCGTCTCAATATTTACTTCTTTGTATATGCTCTTATTATGTTTAATTAGGTTCTTTTTCACTATGTTTACAACAGTTTCCTCATCTCTTATTATTTTCATTTGATGTGCACTTATTTTTTCAGATCTAATCATATCAAGAGCTTTTTCTAACGTTAATTATGTTTCGTGCAATAAACTTGATTTCAATGCATCATCTTTAATACTGCGAACAGTTTTATTTTTATCTCCGTTAACTGGGCAAACTCGTACGTTCTAGCTTTTATTTTGAAAGTCGGTTACATACTCATCTATGGTTTCCGACGAGATTTGATTTCTAGAAAAAATAAACGTCTTCTACATGTATTTTTCTTAGGTATAAATATTCCTTAAATCTTCTCTTAATTTCTTTTACTTTAATATCTTTACCTTTTTCTACAGGAAATATTACATATTTCAAGACAGCGAATTTCTGTTACATGATGAAAAAGTACTAACTCTCACCTTCTGCTCTTTATTATGTAATCTACTGACTACTTCATAAATGTCGAACTATTGCAGCCATCTTTGCTAGCCTGAAGTAAAATGTCCACCAAATTTCATCGGAAGTTTTTAAACATTCCATTTTGAAAACAAAATACACCTATCATCATATAAAATAAAAAGGGTGCACTTTTAACTGCTTAAATTATTTATTTATTAGCCTAGATATTACAGAGCACTACAATACAGACGTAATTCTATCTTAACATGTATCCAAAAGTATTGTCTTTAATAAGTTACTAAATGTTAAATGTTGCCATCTACAAATTATTAAATACTATATGTATGATGCGTTTTGTACCAAGCCGGCAATGATAATTGAAAAATTTCTGTTTAAGCTCTTCAAACCAAGAACCTTAAAACTCTTTTTTAGTGAATTCTTTAAGCCCGAGTCTTATAACATTAATTGTATGTACAGCCAAATAGTTTAGTTGTGAGAATTAACAAACCGTAATGCTGCCTTTGCGGTGTAACTAGATAACATATCCGAAGTGTATTCGGGGTGCCACCATTAGCTGAGCGGTAGTCGCTGAACACTGGTAGTTCGCTTCGAAGTTCAAACTCGGCGAACAGGCTGTCTGCATGAGCGTTTTCGTGGTTTCCCCATGTGTAACGGGTATACGAGCCAGTCTTCCTTAGAAAGTACTCCACGAAGGCATCTCTTCCCTTAGGCAGATAGCCCTCGAGGCTTTGCTGAAATCACATAAACCAACCAATAACTCAGCCATATCAAATTACGTTTGATACTGATGAAAGAGATATATTTATATTTTTTCTGGAACGTTTTTAAAAATAATTTTACATTACTGATCTTGTTATTGTGTACGTCAGAGACATATCAATGACTAAATGATTTATTTTCACATTTTGGAATTGAATCAAGTAAATAACTGAAGAATAAATGAAGATACCTCCACATGCTATATGGAAATTTTAATGATTTACTTAATTCTAAATTAGTCGTTGGATGACTACTTTAATTCTGCATATATTATCATGGTGAATAATTTTTAAAATTTTTAGAAAAGAGAAATTTAAACTTTCTTTAGTAATAGTTAGCTGAATATGTATAATGATCTTTTATGATTAAAGATGCATTATTTTAAGGCTCTACTTTACATCAAATTAATTAAATTAAGATATATTATTAAATTATACTTGAGGAAAAAACTTTGTTTAAATGTTGAAAGGAATTTTGTTTGATTATAGATTCCCTAAATAGACACAGCTGAATGCAAAAAGCTTTGAATCGCGTTACGAATTAACTTGAACTTGGTATTAGGCCATAATTAATATTTTCTTGAAACAAGCTTTCTAGGTAATTATGAAATAAAGAGTATTAATAAAATGTTTCATATAAGGTGTAAGCTGAGTGGCATTATGTAATAATTGTATATTTGAATGCATATTTATTATTCAGGTTCGTAGTAGTAATTTAGTGGTCCACTTGCTATGGAATGGTCCTTATGAGCACATTGACGCCATCACTTACAGTGTGAGTCATTCTTTTAAGGAATGCACAGAAAAGCGTGTTGTTTGTGTGGGCCACCTTCCGAAGAATATAAGTTCTGAAGCAATCCGCAAGAGATGCGAGAGATATGGGAAGGTAAATGATGTCAAAGTTCAACCTCAAGATCAAGGAGCTTTCGCTTACGTCGTATTTCAATCCCCACTGTCTGCCGCTGTGGCTACCTACTGTCTTCGAAATAGTTCAACAAGCAGTGCAGCTTTGATGCTTGGATACAGGTTTGCATTATGTTATAATATTTGAATTATAACTTGTACTATGTTTCTATGATGTATTTCAAAAGAGAACTAACAACTTTATTAACGGTAATTACTACATTCAGTACTAGTACATGCTCTAGCAAGTTGCTTAGCCGAATCCAAATGACCAAGTGAGAATTTATCTACAATATGGCGAAGTATTCTAATTTAACATGCTGAAGCCCGTTGAAATTCGAAATTTCAATACGTAAATTATAAACATTTAAAAAATTTCAAGCAAGACTATTTCTTCAGGCCATATATGAAAGCTATTCCCATCGTGAATATAATGCAAAATAATATAAACAGATAATTGCAAAATACAGTATAAAATAATGCAAATATTATAAGAACATAAACTAGTTCAGTGTGCTAGAGTTTACTTGCTCTTTGAAACAGTTCCATTTCAATATAAAGCACAATTTAAAACGAAATAACAATGTAAACCTAAACATTGTTATCTTGGACAGACAGTAAACAAATTTTACTGATACATCGAGTATATACACTATTTGATGCTTTTTTACCAAGTAAAATATCTACAATTCTAGCTAAACGCTATTCAATTGGGGGAAAATTATTTTTTAACACAACTAACATACTGTTGATTGCGAACGGCTTCGTAATGAATTGAATGCACAAGTCCGATGAAGAGTGAATAGAATTTATTATTATCACAACAAATAAAACAAAATACTTAAATATCCTCAGATATTCGTACAATATTGCAATATCTCATAGTAGATATATTTTAAACTACTAAAACGTTCAACAGAACTTAATTCAAAACGGAGAAAGCTAACCCGATTTCACCGCGAATTCGCTACAGTCATTAACAGCAATAAGTAAACAACATAACTGTTATCCAAACAACTCTGAATTGAGATGTTTTCCTCCAGCTTTCAGAAGCTTTTTAAATGCATAAGAAAATTCTCGTATTTTCTGGGATTTTTCTGGATAGCAAGAGTACAATTAGGAGATATCTATTTATTAAATTCGCGTGCTCTGTATTTTTAATTTTTCCGCCGTAGCTTTTTCTTCGAATAAGTCTCGTGCTGCATTGCACGCTAATATAAATCATTTTTAATTCTATTTAAAAATAGCTAAATCAATAGAAAAACCATAACAATACTTTCATTTAAATTTTCTTTATTAATAAACCATTTGATACATTGTTAGAGATGATTTATTTATATAATTAGTTTGCTAGCGTTTCCAAATAACTTGAATGAACTTGGTAATAATTTGCCATTTAGAAAGTCTATACGATGTATCTTGAAAGACGAGCCAAATCAGGTTCATTATAAGAAGTAATGAAAGTTCCAATCAAAAAACGTCGCGGCATTAAGGCTTCAAGATCATTCGCATCTGTTGATAAGGGTAAAATTGGACAACACAAACAATATAATTTCTCTTCTCAATCTTTTCGCCCAATCAGTGTCAGATTGTTAAAGTAGAGGACACTGTTCGAATCCCAACTAAAGGGCTGACTGTGTGGGTAATCCCCAGGTGTGATATAGATACGACCTAGGCAAAGAATCTCTAAGGACTCTTTGACCTAGGTTCCTTTAAATCGTACTCCAAAAGGCATCCGCTCTAATAGATGGATAGCTCACTAGTTGGTTTGCCTTAATCGATTAACTGGAAACTCACCTGTGACGGAGAGGTAAAAGGTTTGTTGAATACTTGTATTTCACTCTTGTTTCGAACATAGGAAATGGGCCTGTTGCATGATATTTTGTTGTTTTTCCTCCTCATGTGTAATGTTTTTACGAGTGAGGTTTACTTAGACAGTTCTCGCCTTCGCTTTACTATACGCAAATAATCTTATCGCTATATTATTTGGCAAGGTTTTAATGGAGAAATCCATATATACATCTAAACTAAGTAAACTACTGTGATTATAAATAAATATTTAATTTGAACCTGTTTTGTCTTCGTTTCCGTTTAGCTCGCGATATCCGATACGCTGGAGAACTATACGCTTGGAAATCTGCTTAGATTTTGATATAAGATATAATTTTTAAAATTATATGTGATCAATCAGCAGAGAATGAAAAACAGCCTGAACGAAAATTAACTATCAATCAGTAGTCCATTGTTCCAGTCCTAAATATAGTGTCAGTTACTGATCACTGACTAGGTCCGAACGAAAAATGTAGTGTCTATTACCGCTGATATACATTGCTTAATGTGTTAACTGTGCATTTTCCCTTAATTTATGCCGAGTGCTCGCAGTTTTCAAAATTATGCATCATTCGACATACGGGTTAATAACATCTTTCGTGAACTGGTAACAGAATGCAGTTCTGTTATTATTTAGCGCTCATTTAATATACATAAAATTGGTGTATCCTTAACAAAAAAATAATTACCATCATGATCTACTGTACCCTTGATATACACAATTAACATAGCTTTAACAAAATTGTCATGTGATCTTTCAACTAATTTAATGAATTACTGCTTAAATGTGCCTCGAATGTTTACCTTAAATAATAATATTTGCAGTGAAAATGGCAGTCCTGTACTCCTGGGCCCCGTTCGTGTTCGACCATTGGACCAATATCCTGTTCCTCTGACTGCATTTGATGTTCGTTGCATTTGTACAAGGTTCCTTGATTACTCAAGATTAAAAGGACTGTTTGTTAATTTCAAGCGTAAGATGCCTGTTAACCATTTCTTCAAGCCGGGTACACCAGAATTTTGCATTCGAATTCCAACATCTCAGGTAAAGGGGGTTTCCCTATTCTTAGAAGTTCTACTATTCGACGGAAATTTCTTGAAGAATGCTGAGGACATTACGGATCTTGCCTATCAACTCTGCAATCATAAGCATTTATTCAGGTAATATTATTTGCTAAGACTTGAATTAAATACTTTACTTTGTTAAAGTTATCCACCATATGCTTAAAAATGCACCTTCGTCACAGAATGCTGCTGGGTCTGGTTACTTTCAATACCCCGTTGAACAAGTTAGGCTTGGCATAGACTTGTCATTTATGTTCAGGATCTCGTAAATGGTAGATTGTACACTTCTCAAATACAGAAAAATAAACGCATGTTAAATTCTCTGATGTTCAGTCAGATAGTCAGTCTGTCTGACGAGTTTATTCTTAAGGCAGCCTGTATTCCCTTTATCCACAAAAATCCTTATTCGGCTTTTATTTTCGCAATCGTTGTTAATAGACATGTACTTCAAATTACCAATATGTTTTAAATGACAAAAATATTAATGTTACGGTATTTTTAAATTGGAAGATCAAATTTGTATAGATTAATGAAACTAGTTTTTCAATATAATACTCCTGTCTTGAGTTACCTTTAACAAAATAATAATTTCTTGGTGATTATTTTACTTGGAAAGATTAATGCATTTAAACTACGTTTTCAAAACACACTAAAGTTATCTGCCTAAGATATGCCTTCGTAGAAGATTTTCTGAGACAATTTGGCTCGTATACATGTTACACATGGGGAAAGCGATGAAAACGCCATTACAGACAGCACATTTGCTTGGATTCGAACCCAAGTCGAAATAACCAGTGTTCAGAGATTTTGCCTATCGACCTACTGATAGGCATGTGACATTTCAAGGGAAACTCGCTCGTTATTTAATTCTAGACAGTGCTAGCTGACTGTCTAGAATTAAATAACGCTATGTCAAAGCTGCCTATACGCAAAACCAGTCATAGAAAATTGTGAAATTTTGTTGTGTACATAATAGGAATGGTATCTTTCAGCGAAAAAAAATATCTACAGGTATCACCGCCAGAGGACACAGTATTAATAAATTACAAATTTACTCACACTTTTACAATAGGTTTATTGGTTTATAAATTTTATTACAAAGAACGTTCCACATGATGACCATCATATTCAGCTACAATCTGAAATCGCGAGATTGTTGTTCTTCATTTGACCGAAGTTTCTGCTGGGAAATCTTCAGCACGAAGCGTGAAATGCTGCATTAAAGATCGTAAGTAAAGTTCTTGCATTTTCAAGACCTACCAGGTATTTTAAATGCCCCCAAAGATAAAATCACATGGATTGAAGTCTGGGGGAGGGGTCGGAAGATTTCGTTATCATTTTTTGAATATTTTCTAAATTCATTGGAGGTCTTTGAACCCCTTCGAAGATTGAAATTTATGTTGAGCAGTTACTGCGAAATTATTGTTTTGATGAAGCAATTATGCTAACAAAGCGTGATCTCGTAACTCTTTCGTCATTGTAAACAGCAAGCACATAGAAAACAATCTCCGGGTATATTTCGAGGTTTTATAACAGCTGCTCAGTGACGTCAACGAAGAATTACATTTTAATACAGGATTTCTATGTGAAATGCCAGTTAGTGAATCTATTGGTAATATTTTTTTCTCTGAAAGGCATTCCTATCCCTTCATTAAATACGCCGCAAAATTTGACGGATTTCTGATTTGTTTTTGCCTGTAGGTAACTTCGAAAGATGTTTCTTTAATTGTGGATACTTTATATGCAGAAAACAACGGAAATGACTATGCAACGAGCCTGTTTACCTGGAATCCAAACTATCAGTGTTCACCGAATTTATTACTTGGCCGATGGTTCGTCACATTTCGAAACTAAGATTTTTCTTAATGTACCGATATCTTTCGATTTAAATAACCTCAAACACTAGCTAAAAATTGCACCTAATAATAAACGGAGGCTATAATAAGTCTCAAATATTTATTTTATGGATATTTTTTATACATTGCATCAGTCAACTGTTTACTTATTATTAGGAATATGGCTTTTGAATAAATGTGGCTGAGCTCAAACTTGATCTTTGTATCAAATGACGCCCAAATTATATATTAGAAGTAATGAAAAACATCTGTGATATAAGATCATTTCTATCGCATTATTAGCAAGTTCACACCTCGAACTACGCATATCGCAGAAAATTTGTTTCTTGCTTCTGCAAAAGCTTTGAAGAGCTATTTAATGTTTTATGTTATGGGACGTATATCGCAGAAAATTTAATTGTTTCTTGCGTCTGAAAAAGCTTTGAAGAGATATTTAATGTTTTATGTTATGGGACCTTCATGAAACTTTCAGCAGGATTTTAAGAAAGCATCTCTTCCTTGCGAGACATAGACCCGCCGGTAGTTGAATATATAACGGTACGAAATACTGGTAGTTAACTAGGAAGAGATAATGCCGATGGGGAATTAAGCAAAATAGCATTACTCCAAGCCAAATCTGCTGTCTGCCTAAAGCCGTTTGATTTGTAGATTCGTTTGCAATGCCGGCTGCCATATCGTTCGACCTGGATCAGAATCCCAGAGAATCCAATGAATGTTTGTTTTGTAGTAAATGTACGGCTTAAAATACTGGAAAGCCGAGAGCCCTTTGAGTGGTTTGATGCTAGGGAAAGAGGGTGGGAGATCCTCCGATCCATAGCGTAGGTTGCTCTTCGTTAAAATGGGGAAGAATGTGCATAGTTGGTGAAGTCGTATTATACTGTACGAGAAGTTCTGATGGACCCATCCAATTCTATTGCACCTGTCACCTCAAGTATATTTCATTCAAACTCTGCAGAGTTTAATAACTTTCATTAAAGTATAGTAAAAGAAAACTGTGAAAGACTTTAGAGATTTCCCGTTACAGGATGGGTTCCGTAGCAGCCAAAATGTAGAAGCACCGAACACTGATTGATTGACAAAAATTCATAATACGGATGAACGAGATTTTTCGTGGTGAAATGCGGACAGAAGTCAGTTTCCCTTAAATTGTCCTCCTCAAACGCTTCCCCCCTTCTAAGGCAAATAGTCCTCGATTACGTAGCTATAGTTTAGGTAATCCATTTCTATCCATTATGGGACAACAGTCGCCAAACTATTTTCTAATGAAAGATACGTGTTAAATTTAATATATTGCTCATATCTGTTACAAATGTAGTCTTGATTTTAAGAAATTATCAATAACACGTTGAAAAGGTATCTTTCCTTTACGTTCTTTATTTATTGAAATAATTATACTAAGGGATTTTTAAAAATTAGGCACAATTAAAATGAGCTCATGAAAAAATGTTTTCTCTAGAATTGACAAATTCACTTTCCTAAAGAAAAAAAATTTAGTGTTGCTGTATAGCAAGAAAGATCCAAGAAATGTTTTAGTACTTTTTTTAAAATTTCGAAACAAAGAGAATTAGAAAACACTATTTGATGGCACTGATAGCTGGGAAGTTTTGACATTTAATATTCTTTATATCTTAAAACTTTTATCATAGTTATATGTTAAAAAGAACGAAGTGGAAAACTCTCAAACTGCGTTTTCAAATATTTCTTTTTGACTGCGATTTAGTTTGTTTTGGACAATTTAACTCATAGACATAAACCAGAAGATTAAAATTTCTGATAACTTAATTTGTAAGTTTAATTGCAGATTCTCGGTAGATTTTGGTCTGCACAAGCCCATTATGGCCCACGATCGAATGTCAAGACCGAATCCACAATACCTTCGATGGAATTCCTTTTTCATTCTTGATCTGCAAGTTTGCGTTCCTTGGGGTCATGCCGATCCACGACTGCAGCCAAGAATCCAGAGCATGAATCATATTTACAGTGATGTAGATGGTAAAGTCTTTGACGAAGACAGTGTTACCTCATCTTGGTTCGGTGGACCTCTGCGTCACACTAGCTGCAATCTAAGTATTTCTGGGTCTGCAACGGATGACACTCAGCACAGAAATAAAATCAAATTTTTAATTGCTGAGAATTTACCTTTGGTTAGATTGGTTGGTTCGTATGAAGAAACAAATGCCTATCAGTTACCAGTCCATGCTTATTCAGATGTTCAGTCTAATTTTAAAATTGCTTAATCTCTTGATTTGATATCTTGCCTAAGAATATACTAACGTTACATTGATTTTGATACGTTTATTGCATATTCTCACTGTTATGTAAATAGGAAACAATTCTACATATGGTATTTACAAGTGTATTTGAAAGATCAGATTGTATTTTCTGTAAAACATACAATATTTATTACAGTTGCATTTAACCGACTGCAGAATAAATAACAGAACAGCTAGGCAAAAACGAACAAGGAGTTTCATAATGTTACCTGTTACTGTTATTTGATCTTTAACAATAAAGTTATAATGGTTTGTCGTTGACAACTAATATTTTTATAGCAAACATGCTAGTAGTGTTATTAGATTGAAAACTGTTTTTAACTAAATTTATATTTAAATGTTTTCTGTATTTATATATTTACACATGGCTTTGAGCTTATAATTTTACAAATACTAAGTTTATATTTGTTATAATTAATAAAATAGTTTGTAGATATGTAATATTTTATTTTACGTTAATTTATAGCAGTGTTAATTTACGTTCCACCGATATTCTGTAATTATACGCGTTAATTTTGAAAAGATGTTATGTGCCTAATTTTACTGGAGATTTGTAATTTTCGAAAATAAGATTAGCGTATGATGTTATGATAGTGTGATATTTGTAAAATGTCTTAAATAATAAAACTGCATAAATTTATCTGCTTACTTTTATTGATTTTTTATTTTTGTTAGATATGTATCATATCGCAGTTAATATGTGGTTATACGAAATTGCTTATGAACTGAAATAAACGTTGATTGCTGAGAAAAAGTAAAGTTAAATTTTCATTTCTGTAAGCAGGAATCAGGCACGTAAATTTTAGGTTTCTTTGGTGAAAAAGGGAGTAATAAAATAATAATGAAATTTACTTAAATAGCCAAATCGAAGTTCACTAATTCGCCAATTTTTCCTCAAATATATTTACAGAAAACACAAAATGTGACATTTTGTTTCCAGTAATATCTTCAAATTTCATCAAATCTATTAATGTTTTTGTAGGCAAAAATGTTGTGCATTGTTGTGTAGAACTTGAGCAACAAATTCACTTTTCAACATACAAGCATGAAGAATTCGAGGCCGTCCACTTCTAATCTTATTTTCTGTCGATCCTGCCTCGTTGAACATTTTTTACAACGCGTCGAACAGTAAGTTACCTTATGTTCAGTTGTATTTCTATAGCACGATAAGTTAAACCCTCATTTCTGAGCTGAATTATCATGTTTTTAACATTAAAGTCTAACCTTTTCGACTTCGAAGCCATTTTATCACAGTATTATCAAAATAACGTTTTAAAAATGCACTGCAGACTTTATATTAACAGGGTTTCTTATCAGCCTAAACACGAGATCTCAACATAATAAAATTTGCATAGCAGTTGGAGCGTTGGCAACACTTTTTTGACATGCAAATTTACGTTTTTGTTGTATATTTTGTATAAAAGACGCATTGAAATGGAAGTTTCATCACATTTGTGTACTTATTACTTCGTATATTAGTGTACATATATGTGAGTAATAAGTATTATGTAATATATTCGTATATATGTGAGTAATAAGTACACAAATATATTCGTATATTTGTGTACTTATTACTCACATATTCGTACTTATTACTTCGTATGTTTCCGGCTAAAATTGTCAAGCCTTTCCTTTATTAGTTAATATGATCAATTATAAGCAATTGCCAATACTTTTTTAACCCACTGTATGTCTGAAATGAAGTTTTCATACAATGCGTACCAAGGGTATCCGTATCTCTAATGCTATTAATTGAGAGATAAACTTTGGTATTATATCTATAGATTTATATTGAAATTTCATATCTACATAAATTTAGTACAGTATTAAAACATAATATTTGCGCAGTTTGAATATCGCTTTCTATATACAAATCAAGCGAGGAAAAAAATTGCTATCAATCGCCATTTGCAAGGCGAGATATCAAGCGAGAAGAAAATGGCGATGCTGTATTTTAAGACAAATGTAAAATTCAAGGAAGCAGATTTTTTTCTTTTTTATCCCATGCGGAAAAGAACGGATTCCCTTTTTGAAGAAGGATTATGGAAAAAAAAGATTCTTTTTCCTTTATAGTTTTTTAATATTTTAATTTTATTTTGTGCAGTGATTCCTAAAAGACTAGTTTATCTGAAAACTTGATTTGAGCACCGGGTCATCAGTTTATCATGAATACAATATACATTGTTTAATTAACCGTTGATTACTGGAATAGGCAAAGTTCATAATGACTGTTTGTCTAAAGGGAGGGAGGCCTTAGTGACGGATTTCCTAAGGAAATTTTCAAACATGCAGGCAGCCTTCAAGCATTCAGCTGTCTTTATTTAGCCACTGATACAGCTTTCCTATCAAAGTATTTGGATATTTGATTCTGTAAATATCTGTTGTAGCATCCACAAAAATTACGCTCCGTTATAGAGTTTATTTTTTGAAATCGGCCAAAAAAAACTGCAATTTGAAATCCGTCTCTACCTTTTTTATTCCCCCCAAGCCACAACATTATTTAGCTCAGAACGGAATCTTTTATTTTTATTAGCATGAAAGCCCACCAACAGAAGAGCGGTAAAGCTATTGAACGCTAGTAATTTCACATGGGTTCGATTCCAAACGGAAATAATGGCTACATGAGGATTTCAAGGTTTCCCCTTGTGCAACTAGGATTACCAGATTAGATTACCTTAAAAAGTCCTTAACAAAAGCATGCTTCTTTTTAGGCAGGAATCCGCGTGTTTTGCCAATCAAATAAAAGAAATAAAACAAAGTCTATGTTTAGAGCCGGTTTCCTTTAGAAAGTTTCCCACGGAAAGACTAATACAAGTCTTTTTAGGGAAATACCTTTCATGTGTTTTAAAATGTTCCAATAATTTAACCCTACTTTAGGCAGTTAGTAATTTTAATAAAGCTCAAGTCACTATCGATAGTATACAAATACAACCACCAAAGCCTAGGCCTTTATTATGGCAAAGCATTCGAAGGCTATCTGCTTAAGGAGAGGTATGCCTTCGTGGAGGACGTTCTAAGGGGAACTGGCTCATATACTCGTTATACAAAAGACAAACCACGAAAATAATATGCCAGCCCATTCACCGAGATTCGAACCCGGACCGAGCTACCAGCTTTTGGCGACTTTGCCTCTCGGCCGCTGATGCTTTATAGGTAAAGCGATGCAAAAGTTGACATTCATGAATGATATAAGAAAATGAAATAGAAAATAACTTGTTCCAACAAGCGAACTTTTAAGTTTCTATAGTGTCGATAAGATGTGTGTTAAGGTATTTCACTGTGTTTAATGCAAGGTGTGAGCTAAACACAGCTCCTTTAAATATAAAATCAAATATCACATGAGTTCAGATCTAACAAATGTATTGTCTCGTTAGTGATATGACCGTTGATTGCTCTTTTATTTCTTTAACAACTATTGAGTAATTATTATTCTGGTGGTGTAAAAAGCGGTATAAGTCTGAAATTTGATGAAAGTGGTGGTATATGAACACCGACATTTTTGCTGTTTTGTTTCAACGCGTTTTTTCAAAAGAGGTTCATATAGATGCCATTGATAGAAATGATAGACTGACTACATCAAAACAAACAAAAAAATATTGCTGTTAATATCGAGAGCCGCTTAACGTAGTGCATGGTGACTTTTAGTTGCTCACATTATGTAGATTTGCGTAATAATAGTGCCGTGAAGTAAAAAAAAAATCTACTGCAATCTGACCACAAAGTACTCTATGGCGAAAGATCGTCGTCTGAGCAGGAAACTTGAAATGAACGTTTCGTACATAAGAATGTACGAAAGTGTTCAAATATATCCATTTTTTAGCATTATTCATTTGTAAGAAAAGCATTTCAAGGTGTCTCAAACTCTTTGTACCGTAGACAAAGATAAGGCAAATGGCCAGTGCACAGGTAGATCCATGAACATTACTACCTTTTTAATTATTACCGTACCCCTTTTTTAACTAAATTTGTTGCTCGAAAATTGAGACGGGAAAATTACCCGAGATATTGAATTTCCAAAGAAAGCAGAGTGAGAATATAACTAATGTAAATTAGTCGTGGATAAACTACTGGTAATTCTAGCAATATTATTTCTGTACAAGGAACTTAACATTTCAGTAAGACTGGATAAAAATATTAACATTAAAATATCTCACGCAGTTACCTTGTAAGGCACAAGGGCATCTCGCAATGAATCTTGGCAGACGTTCCCAAGAGGGACATTGGAAGAGTGAAGAAGGGGCGAACAAAAGACATGAATTTCGAAGGATCGAACTAATTCTGGAACGTAAACAACAGAAGCAAAGTGAAATCACATGTATGGAAAGTTCCCCAAGTGTGACTTTAGCTTAACGTGACTGCCACGTGACTATAGCTTAACGAAGAATCTGCGCGAAGTACTTTTTAAATAATAAATGCAAAGGAAATTAATAGGTTTGAAATGTTAATACAAAAATACAAAATGAATAGACTGAATAATGCTAGAATTAATCAAGGGGATCCAATTTACTGATACAGTAGCCCTCTGAAAAGAAAATTATGCTAACAATTAAAAACCTTAATGCTAAGGGAAAACGTAATCGGAACGGCAGGTGTGCCTTTCTTGTCATAAAAGCTTATCGTTTCAAATTTCGAAAATTCTTTTAATCAGATCGTTTGCAGCCATTGAACAAGAATTTAATATCTTCAATATTTATTTATTTTTTAAATAAAAACTATCATTGCTGTTACACAGTTGTACAAGAGTAGACATCTTTTAAGGGTAGTAACACTGGTAAAGACAAATTCAGTTTTTCCCATATGCAGTAGACAACACATTCCTCGGTTCCTATTATATCGCATCATTTTTTAACGTACCGTGTAAAAGTAATTTTTGATACAACCTCCACATAAGAGCAAAAATTTGAATTGTTAGCCCAGAAGGACTATTAATTTAGATTTGGCATCTTCCGTGGAAAATTTTAAATGTCCTTTTCACTTTTCAAATTGTTGCCACGAAATATCGCCCTGTGTTATATTTAAAGAAATTAAATAATGAAGTAGTTGCTTGAATGTATGCATGTTTCTCGCATTGTGATAAAACAAAGGTACCTAGAGCCAACCAATTTTGAACGACGTACATCCCCGAATATGAGAATTTGGAAAACGGAATTTGTTTTATTATCTATTTCATAGTTTTTAAAGCATTTATGAGTTTTAATTAAGAAACTCAATGATTTAAACCGAGGAATGGCAACAAGTTACGGAAGAAAAAAAAAAAAATCTCCAGCGCGCAAGACTGCGTATCTGAAATTCTGAAGGTATGCTCTTTTAAATATTTTGGGATATTGCTGTTGAACTGAATTTTTATGGTTTAAGTGCGAAGAACATGATATTTAATAAATATAGGTCACGCATAAAACGTTAAAAAGCACACCTCTGGGCGTAATACAAAATCAAAGATTTTGCATTTTTTTTTTAATTTAATTTTTAGTCCAAAGGGGATTTGTCCCTGAAAGACTACTGTTTTCGTTTTGCGATTTTGTGTTGAATCATTATAAATGACCGTTTCAGTTTTCAAACTGTTGCCACTAAATGTTAGAGTCCTGCATTGTATTTGAAGAAATTAAATGAAAAATCTTCATAAATGTATGTATATTTCATGCATTGTGAT